TGAAAATTTAGTTTTTTCAAAAAATAAAAAACTTTGGAAAGAATTAACAGGAAAACCACTTAAAAGTTCATTTTAAAATTAATTATTTATAAAAAAAAAATCATAAGATAATTGTGAATTTAAATAAAAAGGTTGAAAACGACATAAAATCACTGCGTAGTATGACGTCCCAACTTCTTAATCAATGCAAAATATTTCAGGGGTGACTGAGATTTTTGCATCACACGCAAACTCTCCGCTCTCAGCTTATTTAATGTAGTAGATGAAATGGTTGACGGATTGAATTGAAAGCCAGATGGCAATTAGCAAAACCAAGTGAAATGCTGTTTGATCTCCTTTCGTCCAACCGTACCGGCCTGGACCAAGCTGCCCAGCCTCAAGACTCACCATACATGGTTATCAAATGTGACGTCGATGAAGTTATGTGGCACAGAAACAGAAGTGAAACAATTGGCAATTTCCATATGAAGAATTGGTTGTTCCTTTCATATTAATTAATTAATTAATGAAGTCCGATCAGGACCGGTGTCTGTTGTTTCTCACTATCAATTAAATCGGATAGTGTGTAGAAAGCCAAAAACAATACGTGATTGTGATAGGCGTCGAAAACACAGTAAATCAAGAATAATAGTCTGTAACACTAAACGTAGGTTAAAATATATTAATCAATTTTGGACCCTCAAATGTTTTCTGGATAATACAATTGTAATCAAGAATTGATTTTTATAAATTACGTGGTTGTGTTATAATAACGAAATCATTAAATAAACGTTAATTTATTATTTATATTATAATTTTAAAATTAATTAATGATATTGGTTTTAACATTTTAAACGACCGAAAAACCTTTTTGTCCTCCATTTATACTTACATAAGCAAATGCATGTATGAAAGATGAAAAAAATGAGATGTAGTTCTTGATAGAATCACATGCAGTTGCTAAGTAAATTTATCACAAACTAGCCTTAGTTTTTGACATTCTTTTTTGGGTATCAATATTTTGCCACAGTGACCAGTACCCGAGTTTGCTTTGAAAAAAATGCCAACGTGCATGAAGGCTAGAATTGTAATAGAATTAATCATGTTAGTATTTTGATTGTGCCTTGTAATTCTATAGATGGAGAAAATTGTGAGAGATAATATTTTTCATAAGCTTATTTCAAAAATATCATCCATTATAATTTTAATTATATTTAATTAATTTTTTGATATGGCTTAACACTGATGCTGTTTAAACAATTTCAGACAAATTAAAATGATTTCGATTTTCTGTATCTCGCATGCAAATAAAAATTTTAAAATTAAATCACAATTTCTCTCTTTTGTTAAATAGTATCTATCTTGTCATCTAGCTCTTTCTCGCTATCTCCAATGGTAGATATGACATTAAGGTATATGTTTTAGGTTCTTCGATTTATTAGTTTATATTCATAAAATCTCAAAGTTTAGATATTAAAATTGATTAGACATATTTGTAAATTAGAACATTGTATAACTTTAGCATCTTAAACTTGACTGTGAGCAAGCAAATTAATTAGTTATTAGAAATTACATTATTAGTTTTTAGATATTGTACCATTGATTTTTAGGTATTGTGAAACTGATTTTTAAGTATTACGTTACTTAATCATTGTGTTTTTCTTTTAAGCATTTTATGACTTAATCATTGTAAATATTGCACGACTGATTTTTAGACAATGCCTAAGTCATACAATGCCTAAAAATTATTCACGCAATACCTTATTAACTAATCACGTAATATCTTACTAACTAGTCACATAATGTCATATCAGTCAGTTATACAATACTTAAAAATAAGTTATGTAATGCTTAAAAACTAGTCACGTAATGCTAAAAACCAGTTATGCAATGCTTAAAAACTATCAAAATTACTAAATTTTATTTAACAAAATCAACAACTTCAAACAACACACCATATTCCATTTAATAATATGATCAACGAATATACTTACTTAACGAATAATATTCAAAAGTTTTATTTCTTATATTAAAAACTACTCTAAAATGCTTAAAATACTCAAAACACTCAACATGCTTTGTCTTTCTATTAAAGAATACTTTGGAGATGAATGATCTGATAAGGAAAGCTAAAAGAATATAAATAAATTTGATACGCGATTCTAAACATATAGGTCAATTTTATTAAAGATAATTTTATTTAAAATTAATTTTTTTGATTAAAAATTATTAAAATTATAAAAAAATTATTTTTAAAAATATTTCATTTATGAGAAGTATTTTTGAAAAAAACTTTTTGTAAATGTCCTTCATTGGTAATACCTAAAATGAGGAATGTCATGGGGACAGGTTTGTCAACACAAGGGTGGGTTGGCCGCAGCTTCTCATCATTATTGCATGGTCCATCCCTGGACCACGGCCTACGTCGTTGATCCAACTTGTCAGACCGCGGTCCTGAAATTGTCCCACGCCAGATTCTGAAGTTCTGGGTCCAGGAGTTGGGGGATTTAAGAGGCTCGTTCGTTCCTGCATGGAACACCACGCGTCGTCCGGTTGTAAATTGTGCTTTTCTGGAGCAGATGATAAACAAATCAATCGGGTTTTAATGATTCTTTCGACAAGAAATCGGGATTTAGTTTTAGATCTTCTCAAACAATCATTGAAGTATGCCAAAAGGATTAATGGGTACCAACCTTCTGTTTCCCAGCTTAGTTGTAAAAGTTAGTATACAGCCTCGCTTGATGATTTTGAATTGCAGGTCTAGTTCTGAATTCTTCCTCCCTGGATAAACTATGAAATCCTAACAGCTAAAACCACCCACTCTAAATTTGAAATATGACAATATGTTTAACTGCTTCTGCTTTGCAACTTCTGAGAACAGGCTGCACCGCCAATGCTGTGGTTTTATCATGAAAATATGCTGAAGAATAGTAATTGTACGGGTTGTCTGGTGTATTTTAACACTCACTCTTTATTATTTTGTTTTCCATATTTGAATAGGGACTTGGCCCTGGTTTTATCTGTAGAACAGTAGCAGGAATTCCTGATTCTTTTGTTGATGAATGAGATTCTCAATTCTCAATTTGTCAGAAGCGGTGAATTTGTTCTCAAGTGCTACCTACTTATTCCTGTGCGCTCATTGCAACAAATGACATCAACGTCCTGTGTTATTCTGTACTAATGCGCAGAAAGCCATGAAAGCTTGTATATAAATTATTCAGCGCTCTTTCACTGTGATACGTGCAAATCCAGAAACAATTTTGAAAATGTCGTAGTTCTAGTTCATGAAACTGCGGTTTTCTTCTTCTTCTTGGTGCTTTACCTTGTCGTTCTTTACTTTTGTTTTGGTACTTCTTTTTGGTCATCCGGAAGCCACTGTTATTACACTATCAGGAAATGAAACATACCCGGCAGTTATCATACTTTCTGAGCACCTTTCGTTTCTTCTTCGAAAACAACAGACTATTGTTTTCCAGACTTTATCTCATTCTCCTCTCTTTCTCTCTGGTGTATAGTTAGTTGCATCATTATCAGATCAATTGCTGCACTGCAGAGAAATAAAAAGAGAAGTTGAAAGCAATTGCTGGAGAAAGAAGGAACAAAAACCATATTGGCTCACAAGTTTATTGTTTAATTTTCTTTCATTAAAAAATTGAAGACAATTGAAAATTATTATAGTTTTCATTTGAAGTATCCAAATGCTTTGAAGCTATGGTATTTAATCTTTAACCAATAGCTATAAGCTATTTGATGGACTACAAACAGTCATTATTGAAAAGGTAGAGAAGAAAAGGAATGAACTACTTTCATAGTTAAAAGTAATAGAAATTTTGTCACAATTTTGATCTGAATGGTTAAAAACTTAAGCAAACTATATAGTTTTATATTCAAAGGTTTTTGACTGTTTAAACCAACAACTCTCCTGGTGACAGACACCCTTAGGTGGAGGAGACACTTCACAGAGAATACCAAGCATTGCATTGCACCAGTTCCAACTTTAGCAATCCACATGGCTAGTCTAGTTCAAGAGAGTTCCTGAGGAGATCCTGTTAACATTCATGCATTGCTCACCTTTTGGTTCACAAAAGACCAAATGAATAGGGGAAAAGAAACCTTCTTTCCAATGTCAAGCGAACATTACATGGCAAGACCTAGATGGCATAACTTTAACAGACTAATATCTCAACATCTATTAAGAACCAAGAAGCTCTACTTTTTTGTACATCGACCACTGAAATCATGTACTATTTCCGATGGAACCAAGTTCTGCTTATCCACTGCTATAGTCATTATCTCTGTAACACCTTGTAGTTATCTTTAAGCCCTGAACTTGTACAAAAACATATTATAAACACCTAAGCATGCGTTAAAAACCAATCAGTTTCTTGAACCGTTATACTACTATAGTGTAATTTCACTCAAATTTTGGGAATAATAAGATGAAAGGATTTGTACGTTTTGATTTTGCACTCATAATATCTAGTTAAAACCCACAGTTTTATTATACAGCAATGGGATTTTACCAGACCGACCAAAAGGGAAATTAGCCAAGGTTTTGCCCCACCCCACCCCAAACGAAAAACAAAATTCAGTGTAGCCTTACCATAGAGAGCCACCATAACCATTTTTGGTAAAGTTCAAGTTTAACCAAGTGATTAATTGCTTTCATTGCAAAATCGCATGGACTACAGGTACACCATAATTAGTTTTCCATTTCTTGATGGAACACTATAAAATTCATCTATTATTAGACGTAAATGAACATGCCTTTTAGCCTTCCCGAGATATCAGTTGTTAGATACATTGTTTTTGCACGATTTTGTTAATCTGGAGAGTTTTTCCTTTTAGATTCATGAATTTAGGTGCCTGTTTTCTAACTTTCAGTACATTCGCACCCACCCGGGTGTGAGGTCTCCCCAGCCATATAAATAGGTGAGGGTGACAGAAGCCTAGTCTCCAAACTCTGTACAATCTTAACAACTTAGTTCACTTGAGATTTTGAAGTTTTTTCTTTTGTGAAAATGAATTCTGGTTCTAATATTTTGCTTGCTTTTTGGGTTGTTCTTGTTTTCTGTGGCACAGAAGCTAGCACAGGAGATGTTGGAGTCCTACTTTCCCCAGGCACTCCTGGAAACCAAGCATTTCCGGCTGTTTTAGCATTTGGAGATTCAATACTAGATACGGGTAACAACGACAATGTTTTAACGATAACAAAATGCAACTTCCCTCCCTATGGAAGAGACTTCCCTGGAGGAAAAGCGACTGGAAGATTTGGAAATGGAAAAGTTTTGTCTGACCTAATAGGTAACTATATTTTACTAGTCTGCTTACAAATAAAAGCATTTAACCCTTTCTTTGTTTATACTACTTGAATTCGAACTCAAACTAATGGGTGTTTGGATTTTTATTTCTAATTTTGTTGTTTATAATTGTCTTCTGCAGGGGAAGGTTTGGGGATTAAATCTGCATTGCCAGCATTTCTTGACCCAAATCTTCAAAGTGAAGAACTTGCCACAGGCGTATGCTTTGCTTCAGGTGGTTCAGGATTGGACCCACTAACAGCGAAACTGCAGGTTTCATATAATTTCACTGGAAATATAGTTAGCTATCTCTCATTTAATCTTCTAAACACTTATACATTAGTTTGTATTTGTCTTACGTTTACTGGGATGAAATCAGAATGTTATATCCATCACCGATCAGTTCAATTTCTTCAAACAATACATTCAAAAGCTAGAAGGAACCGTAGGACCGGAGAAAGCCAAAGCCACCATATCGGATAGCTTGTTTCTCGTGTCATCTGGAAACAATGACATTGCGATCACCTACTTTGTCCTTTTGAGGAACTTGCTACTAGACATCGATTCATACACAACACAATTGGTTAGCTGGGCTTCAACTTTTATTAAGGTATTAGATTTAACTATTCCTTTTTTGTTCATTTTATTGTTTATGTGATTAAGCAATTGAATTTGAACGATCTCCTTTCATAATGAAATCTGATTTAAGGATATGCATGGATTGGGAGCAAGGAAGTTTGCATATCTAAGCACGCTACCTTTGGGATGCCTACCAGCAGGGAGAACTGTTGTTGGAGGTTTGCTAAGAGATTGTGCAGCTTCTGCCAACGAAGCAGCAAAGATGTTCAATTCTAAGCTTGAAACAGAACTAAACAATCTCAACAGTAACCTTCCTGGAGCTAAGATCGTCTTCATTGACGTCTTCAACCCTCTGCTTAATGTCATTCAGAATCCTAACAAATTTGGTAAATCCTTCTTTTTGTAAGATTTCCTGTTATGTTGTGTGTTTTTCCTGAAATCTACCCCTATAATTAATCTTACATTAAGCTATTCCTACTGATTCCCATCTCAGGATTTGCTGATGCCTCCACTGGTTGCTGTGGCACGGGGATGCTCGAGGTATCATACCTGTGCAACCAATTCAGTCCGTTTACATGTTCCAATGCATCTGACCATATATTTTGGGACGCTGCGCATCCCACAGAAAGAGCATACAGGATCATCCTCCCAGAAATCGTAAACAAAATCTCGCAACAGTTTTTAGTTACGTAATTAATTAATGGTTCATTTTATAACTATAGTATGTCTCTCCTGTTTCCAATGTTTCCAAAGGGTTTGGATCAAAATTCACAAATGTTAATAGTCATGCAATCTCATCCATTGTGTCATATCAGAACATATTTCAAGTATCAAGCCCAGTCACGATAAGATTATATTAATCATAAAATCAACATATCCGTAGAAAAATTAATAGAATTACTATATCTCATACCGAACACACCCCCCAAACAAGTTGCATTCTTTCCCCAGCAATAATTCATCACTATCTCATCGGAAGCATGTTCGCAATCTCCTGTTAGCTCCACTCAAATTTGTCTACGATCGTTGTGGTTCACTTGTCTGCTTAAGGTGAGACTACAGAAGAATATGATGACTGCTGCCAGGGAAGCTTTCATCCCACTCGTTATTTCGTATGAGCAATCTGATTTATTGTACTTCCCATGTAAAATAAATTTGGAAGTACAATAAATTAGGCAAAGAACGAGATAGAAACATTCATATTAATGTATTTCATAATAAAATAAATATTTTTAATTAAAATAAAAAAATAAATTTGTAATACAGAAAAGTAAAGCGTAAATATTAAGGGTTTAAAAAACACATTCATTTTCAGATATTAAAAAAATAAATAAAAAATTATTTTTAGTATAAATAATCTTATATTTTGAAATATATATTTTGAGTAATATCGGGACCCTGTCCACCGCCCTCTCTGCTTTGGATTAGGGATACTGGAACCTTCAAAGTGGATCCATCGTCATGTCGTCAATGGGTCGGAAAATCACGCTGAGGAGCTCGGACGGCGAGGACTTCGAGGTGGACGAGGCCGTGGCTCTCGAGTCACAAACGATTAAGCACATGGTCGAAGATGATTGCGCCGATAACGGCATCCCTTTACCCAACGTCACCAGCAAGATCCTCTCTAAAGTAATCGAGTACTGCAAGAAACACGTTGAAGCACCCAAATCCGACGATCGTTCAGCCTCCGTCGAAGATGAGCTTAAGTCTTGGGACGCTGATTTCGTCAACGTCGATCAAGCCACCCTCTTTGATCTCATCCTGGTAAGCTCTTACCTTTTTTGGGGACTTCTTTGGGATTTAGAGTTTAATTTATTCTATATTTGAGGTTTTTTTTTTTTTTTGCTTTTTGAAAGGCTGCTAATTATTTGAACATCAAGAGCTTGTTGGACCTGACGTGTCAAACGGTGGCGGATATGATAAAGGGCAAAACACCGGAGGAGATCCGTAAGACATTTAATATTAAGAATGATTTTACTCCGGAAGAAGAGGAAGAGGTTCGCCGGGAGAATCAGTGGGCCTTTGAGTGAAGAATCTCAATTGAATTTGAACATATCTTTTCTTTTCTTTTTTTTTGTAATTTCAGAGTGTTTGAGAACATTGGGTCGTTATTTCTGCGTAGTTTGATTACTGTTACTGTCATCTTAAGCTCAATTCTTTTACTTTCTTCGACTGTTAATGTCTTGTTGGACCGATGCAATGTTAATTCATGTTGTTCTTTTACTAATTGTCTTCTGTTTTTCGGATGAATTTTGCATATATTGATGTTGAACATGTAGGAGAACAGAGGAGATTATGCTTAAGTCAGGGTAAAAGAGCTTCAAATTGTATTTGTTCCAGTAGGATCAAGAACTTGTGGATCCTGGTTTTTATTACAGATGTTCTACACATTCCTATAATGCTTATTAAGGATTTAGGACCTAGTTGCCACTTTTACTGCTTACGGCAAATGGACTTCTGACTTTGTATTTTCCATTAGACCACGTTATGAATCCAAATACATCTTTCTTGAGCGGATTTGTGGAAGAGAAACTCACTTGGTAAGATGACTTCTGACCATTGTTCGTGAATTGCAGTTTGTCTGGGACCACTTGAACATCTAGGCCTGCAGGTGCATCAATGCTTACAGTGTAGACTGTTTTATCGTCTTTGGAAACATTTGTAAGGGTTCTGTTCACTTTCCTGCCTGCTTTTTCATTGAAATTGGAAATTGCTATTGATGGATAATTGATGTTGGATATAAGATCAATGCTTGACTCCTCGGGGCAAGTAAACCCATCTGGGATGGTGTTGGTGATAATTTGGATTGTAGATATATTATAACCGTAGTAGCAGAGAAAATTCAAGTAGTCAATGGTGGTAGTCTCGTAAACTAGGCCAGGTTCCAATGGTCCTGTTGTGCTTACTTCTCCTGCACCGAAATCATAAGGTGTAGCTGCTGCACCTTTGTCTGTCGTAATTGGGGCTTTCAAATTATTTGTTTGAGTTGCTGTAAATTGGTTGTAAGCAGTCATAGATTAGTCAAAAGTCCAGACTTTGTCATGTACATGCACATGTAGATTTGTTTGTCAGTCCTCACCTGTTGTCATAATGGCGGACCTGATTGCAGAGGGACCCCATTTAGAGTTTCTTGATTTGACCGTGGCAGCGATCCCAGAAACATGTGGACATGCCATCGAAGTTCCTGAGATCACATTATACTGTGGCGGGTCTTTGCCTTCTGGAGCCTCAGCTGTGTCATTTCCTAGCCATGCTGCAAGAATGTTAACTCCAGGTGCTGCAATATCCGGCTGCAAGACATCCAATAATGTTGCTTTATCAAATATCCGCTTTGAAAGAAATAAGTTCTATAAAGTGGAACAGAATGGGGATTGCCTTCAGAATGTTCTTTGGGATTGTTGAGGGGCCTCTAGATGAGAAGTATGTTATGGTAGGTGCTGGTTTATACTCTGTCGGTGATGTTGTAGGCAAGATTGTGGCGGCTGGATTTCTGCAAAAGATCTCAAAAAGTATAAATAGTGAGTAACTAAGTAATCTCAAACAAGAATGAGTTCAGAAACTTGAGCTCCATTTGAGTTGAGTTACTGTATTACTTGGTTGAGTTGATGTAGGAGAGAACCTTAGCGCCATCCTTTGAACTGATCACTGTCGCAGGAAATGTACCAAAAGTGGATGCCACCGCTCTTGATTCATCATCAATCAAGACTACGCCTATGCCTCCAAGATTCTTCACTACATCTTTCTTCTCTGTCGGTGAATAGGGACCGTCCTGATCACAAACAACAATCTTTCCCTTGATAATTTCTTGGTCCATGGAATCTGGGTTGCAGCTCCTGAGCAACAAAATTTATTGGAAGAACTGATCACATCGGTGTGTCCAGTACTAGTTAAATTTGCCATAAATTTACTCATTCATCCGGTACCTTGATTCATCTTCGTCTACTCCAGTTTTGTTGGCTGATTTTGCATATATAATCGGGTACACTGGAGATTTTTGAATGTTGGCCAAATTAATGCCTTCACCCTGTGTATCAGTTAGAAGAAACAGATGAAAACTAGGACGAGGAGAAGACAGGAGAACGGATCAAAGAAGATCATTACCTTAATGATTACTTTATCTTCCCCCAGCACAACATTAGACTCAAAATCCCGGTCGATTGTGCTAGCGGCAACGGTCAAGATCCAAGGTGCAGCATTGACAACTGATCCACGGGTAGGTCCGTCGTTTCCTGCAGAGCAGACCACAGTAATATTATGCTGCACGGCATGGAATGCTCCGATGGCAATGGGATCATTAGTAAGCTCTGGCTTTAAAAACGAGGGTGCTCCAAGGGACAATGACAGCACCTCCACCCCATCAGCAATCGCATCATCAAATGCTGCTAAGATACTGGATCCACGGCAACCATTGTGAGAGGAACATACTCTATAAATAGCTAGTCTTGACCCCGGGGATCCACCCTTGGCGGTGCCTTCCGCCAGGCCGTAGTAAGATACACCCTGGACCTCACTTCCTGCTGCGGTTGACGCCACATGAGTGCCATGCCCAATCATATCCCTTGGCGAATGGTACTTTATAACTGAACTATCGTCGGCCTCATAGGATCTTGCTCCAATGATCTTTCTGTTGCAAAACAAACGTTGAGGTCGTGTTTTTACAAGATTAGTATGATTGTAATTGTAGTTTTAATCATATTTGCTGAGAGCATACCTGTTGCAGTTGGAGGTGTTGAAATCCTGTGCTTGTGCGCAAGTACCTTTCCATCCTGGTGGAATTGGACCCATGTCCTTGTCATTAAAACTCTCTGACTCCGGCCAAATTCCTGTGTCCTTGAATTGCACTTTAGCTCTCACGTAATTTGAAAAGGAAAATGAAATTGCTATGGTAATTGCGTGATAAACTTCTACTAGCAAATAACAGAATAACAAAAAGAGAGAAAAAAATGTGATGGAATTCTATATATCGGTGAACAAGTTTCACCTGTATCTAGGACGCCAATGATGGCACCCGAATCATGATCAGATGTTGTTGAGCTTGAGTTTGAGTTGGGATTTGAGTCGATCACCACCGAAGTCTGATACTTCAAGAAATCCCATGAGCGAGTAGTGTGGAGCTCTAACACAGAATCGGGGAAGACCGACACAACTCCTGGTCTCTCAGCAATTGAATGAGCCTCTTCTGCTGATAGTACTGCTGCAAACCCAGAGAAACCATGTTTGTAGTTGTGTACCAGGGCATTTGTTTTCCTGAGCACATGAAGAATCGTCAACTTGACATTAGCGTATATTTTATCCGATTAGGAGTATGGAGAACCAGAAATGAAAAGGCTATGACAGGGACGACAATCAAAAGAATTATTATCAATTCTTCTACCATTTAATCATGTTGTAGACCTAATCATGAGAAACATAACCTTTCTTTCTTTCTTTTGGACATGCAGTTTTATGGACGTGGGTAGCGTTAAGCTCAGCTCAGGAATGGTCTTGATGTCATGAATTCATACCTTCTTCTTTCTTTTGTTTACGGAATTCATGACTGATTCAAACCAAATAACAAAAACAAATTTAAGATTTTAGAACAAAAACAGCCGCGTATTCACCGTTTCAGCAATGAGCTCAGAAGTTGAGCGTGATCATCCTTTAATGAACCCTTTCTCGAAGCCGCTGCTCCCATGTACACAATATAAACACCATCCTTCTCTGCAGCGGCTGCACCAGTTTCTGTCAACAATGAGACAGCGGAGAAAAAGGACAAACTGAAAATAAAGGTGATAAGGGCATTCATGGGCGTTCAACTGAAGATTGCCTCAAATGGATTTTGATTGAGAGAGAAAGTTCCCCAGCCAACTCAACCGTATAAATAGTAGTAAGATGGTGGGCTGTGGGAAGCATGTGCGCGCACTGCGAACCAGTAAAGCTTTTAATATCCACCCAAAGTGCGGTTTTGCATATCTAATGCTCCATTAACCGCTTAGCCTGGTGGTGAAGGTGGTGAGAAGTGGTGGTGATAGGTTGAGAGCAAAGACAGCTCAACAATTTGGGTACTAAAGAAACATTGTCAGCATCTAAAAACAAAACTAGGTAACCCAAGAGCCCCATGCCAATTGAGAAACGCTAGATGCAGAACACAAATTTGATGGGGGAAAAAGCTTTTCGTGCCTAGGAGAGGAATATTATCTTGTGCTTTTTCCCACAAATATAAAAGTAAACGTAGTCTTTTATTTGCTATATTTGCTCGATTAGGGTGGGGCAAGGTGTTAAAACTTTAGCCTTTTCCATGTCCACTCTATTGCTAGAAGGACTCCATTATGTCAGAAAATTGAGACCTTTGCACTGCTAACTTCATTTCAAGTTGTTTAAGAGAGAAACAAATTCGAGCATACATGAAATATACCGAAGTGAAACATTAAATATTCAAAACTTCGGAAAGGAGTGTCTCCCACGTGGTTTATTTGAAGAACAATGATTGTCAATCAAATCTGAAGTTGCGAAGCCAGGGTTAGTGCTTGAGAGACAGACTAGTGGGTTCTGACAGTAATTTCATTTGGGCAAAAATCATGTCCCAAGAGCACGCTCTTCTCGCAGGTGTCATGATTCTCTTCTTATCGTTTCAAAGATTTTGGAATTAAACAATGTAAACAGTGGTCTTAGCATCTTAGGAGGATTCAGGAAGGAATCCTACGCAAATGGGACAGAACTGCACTTCCATTTTCATCATCTCATCTAAGTGAAATGGCTCCTCATGAGTGCGCCACTGCCAGTCTCCCACCACTAAAAGTCTTACTTGCTTGAGCAAAGATAATCTATCAGAAAATGGGGATACCTATCTACTTATTGACCCTTTCCCTTTTTCCGTAGGTGGGCAGAGGCATGGGCCGCCCCCTCTCACATTTTGCAAAGAGACTTCTCTTTTTTCAGGACGTTGGTCAAGACGCGTTTATGGTAGGAGCTATTACCAGAAATGATAATGGCAGGCTTATCCAGACCATATATAGCAGTGGGAAGAGGCTGGTGCAATAAAGCTAGTTGAGTAATTGAACCACATCCGTTAACGCCAAAGGGTGCCAATTGTTTCTAAACACAAAGAAAACCTGATCCTCAAAATTTCAACCCCGAAGGCACTATCAAGTAAACAATATCATTTGGGTCTTTGTTTTTTTTTTTTGAAAGGTTGAGATTTTATTGTTATAAAAATCTCCAAATAGAGACTTATAAGGAGCTAAGTCACAAGTGACTTGCTTGAAAATAAAACGAATTCCCAGCAGGGAGGGTTGGTAGAACATAGAAAAGATCTTGATGAGCCTTCAGATATCAATCATACTAGAAAAGATAACAAAGAAATCAAAGCCAATGTAGACTTGTCCCTACTAATCTGGGACATTAAGACATTAAAAATGGATCATCAGAATTAATGTGGGTAAAATCAGAATAAAAATGACAAGTTTAGAGAAAGTTAGCATTATGATTAACAAAGTATACATTGTGGTTGGCTTTTCTCACCATCCTAGCTTTTGCGAGTCCATCAGCTATCATGTTTGCAACTCAAAAAGTATCATTTGGGCCATTGCCTCAAGACTACTCAAAGAATGGCTCTTTGCAACTCAAAATGCCATTATTTTTCTCTTTGCTTTAATAGATTTCTCCCTATAGTTTGGAGTTTTCTTTTATTTTTTTTCCCTCTTTGGCCATGTTATGTATGTGGAGTTCCAAGGGCCTAAGACACGGTTTTGCAAACAATGGACAGCTCCAGGAGCTTGTATCTGGAAGCAACATCAGCCATGGCCTACATACATCTGATATGCTTCTCACTATAGCAACAAAACTATTATAGTCCTATTCACCATAACAAGTTTGACTTCCATCTGTCATTTTCCCTCATCGTTTTGGTGGAGAAAAACAAACTCTGCTTCACTTACCAGGTACTAACGTAACAAGACCTGGAGTTCATTCACTGAATATACCGCCAGGAAACTTGTCTAATGCTTAGGAACAAGAACATGATTGACGGCAGTGTCCACCAGGAGCTCCTTTTCTTGTTCCAAACATGAATAAACATTCCCAAAATTGGTGGGGAAAAGAAAGATAAATTGCACCGATGCAAAAGAATATACTAAAAACAAAAACTAATTGCATCCAGCTAAAATAGGGTTTAAATTTCAGTATTTCTTGCTGGTTTAAGAAAATATTGGCAAAATCCAACATCGAGACCTCATTTTAAACAATTAACAATTGATATTAGTCGATTAATTTATTGAAAAGTATTTTACCTTAATCAACTAATATAAAAACTTAAGCGATTAATATTAGTCATTTATGCATTATCTTGTCTTTTATCTTCTTTTTGACAACTAATACATGTGTAAAATTATTTTTACTTTATCGTTATCTTCCAAAGAAGAAAAATAAACAAACTAGTAAGCAAAATAGAACCCGGTATTGGGATGTGGGCTTCGACCGAGCCTTGGCCCCAAATAGAAGGCTTGGCAGAATAATAGATATTTCCATTGCTGTGAATCGAACCTAGGTCTCCTGGTCGTAAGGCAGTCATCCTTGTCAGTGGACGACAACAAAATAAATTTAAATACTCTTCCCCCAATTAAAAATAAATAAAAAAAGTTCTTAAGTGTAAGTGTTACTAGTTATAAAAGTTTATTTGTTAAATAAAAGAATAGAGAAAATTATGAGGAGTAACTTTTATTGATAAGAGCATTTCAAAAATAACATCAAAATAAATTTAATTATTTTTAGTCATATTTAGTCATGATTTGACGAAAATAACTTTGAAACTATTTCAAATAAATTAAACCATTCATTATAATTTTTCTTCATTTGTACTTCTGATTTATCTCTCTCAACATCCTACTTTTTCTAATTTTATCGATTTCTCTCTTTGGCATTCATCTTTTATGCTTCTAATTTCTTTCTCACGTTTTCATATTTCTCTTTCCAACACTTTGATGACACCAAACGATAGTTTTGATGTGTTTGAGTGGATGAT